CTATGATCTTGCTCGTCATAAGCCTGTCATTACGGGCTCTTTTATAATCCACTTTGCAGTTGTGTAGTGGTTGATATTTTTTCACCTTCCACAAATTGGTGTTGAGAAGGTTTCCCGCCTGAATGTGCCACATACACATGTCATCATAGATGCAAACTGCCTTCCACGATCTCACACGTTTGTCTTCTGTCTTAAAAATTCGAGATTGCCGAATATTTTCTATTGCTACGGCTTCTTTCAGTAAGTCGTATGAATCGTATATTTTGCCGACCGCAATAGTTTCATTATCACGATTCGCTGGTTCAACATATGGTTGTTCCAGCTCAATATCGGCCCATGTTGTGTCATGAGCGTCATCACTATCGTCAGAATTTGTTGTTGCATCGTCATTTCCAGAAAATTGTTAATAATCTGGATCATCTTCCTCTTCATATGCTGTTGAAGGGCCATCTTCATGTCCAACAGTATGCGGGTTGTAGCGTCCGCCGTATCTCGTTGATGGTCCGTCATCGTTGGAGTGGATATTGTGAAAGGTTTCACAATTGTGGGTGTCACCTCCTCCATATGTTGATATTTGTGGTTGGACTATAGAGGTTCTTCGGGCATCCAGGAAAATATGTAATTCTCCATACTCTGTTTCAGCAAGTCGGAAAAAGTGCTTCCAAGTATCATCATCATGGATGGGCCACAGTCTTGATGCCACATACACACGATTTTTGTACTTCGGTAATTTTCCGTGAATGGATACAATTTCTCCAAAACCTCTCTGCGCACACTCTTCGACAATCCGCTCGTTTATAGCGTTAAAGTCATCGTCATTGCTAATTAACAGCGCTGCGCTCGGAGGAATGGAATACTCAACTTCATCATCTTTCATAATAATAGAACCATTCCAGTGGACACAAACTGGAGTTTTATGCTCAGTTGCCATTTTTTTGTATATGGTAAGTAATATCGTAGGAAATATAGGGAGTTGATGATAGATAGCTAGGAACTCTAAGGTGATAAATAGATAGCAAGAATATGGTGACTGAGGATAGTGATGAGCCTTGTATAGTAAAAAAAAAAAATAGTACTTCGTAGGAAAGGTGTGTGTAATTTCTTTAATAATAGTAGTTATGAGTATTTGGGTGCAAGTGTTTGAGAGGAAGTGTTTGAATAATAAGTGGTTGAAAAAAAATTGAATGTTGTGTAGAATTATTGATTCCCGAAGTGACAGGGAATCTGTCAGAAAAATTAAAAGTTGATTGATTTAATTTAAAGTGAGTGGAATCTGTACACTTTTGTACCCGGAATATTTTTTTAGATCAAAATTATTGATAGTTGGGAGTGGGTTTAGGTGGGTGCAAGTGGTTGGGAGAAGTGGTTGAAATTATTTCAAATAATAAGTGGTTGAAAAAAAATTGAATGTTGTGTAGAATTATTGATTCCCGAAGTGACAGGGAATCTGTCAGAAAAATTAAAAGTTGATTGATTTAATTTAAAGTGAGTGGAATCTGTACACTTTTGTACCCGGAATATTTTTTTTAGATCAAAATTATTGATAGTTGGGAGTGGGTTTAGGTGGGTGCAAGTGGTTGGGAGAAGTAGTTGAAATTATTTCGAAAAATAAGTGGTTGAAAAAAAATTGAATGTTGTGTAGAATTATTGATTCCCGAAGTGACAGGGAATCTGTCAGAAAAATTAAAAGTTGATTGATTTAATTTAAAGTGAGTGGAATCTGTACACTTTTGTACCCGGAATATTTTTTTTAGATCAAAATTATTGATAGTTGGGAGTGGGTTTAGGTGGGTGCAAGTGGTTGGGAGAAGTGGTTGAAATTATTTCGAATAATAAGTGGTTGAAAAAAATTGAATGTTGTGTAGAATTATTGATTCCCGAAGTGACAGGGAATCTGAAAGAAAAATTAAAAGTTGATTGATTTAATTTAAAGTGAGTGGAATCTGTACACTTTTGTACCCGGAATATTTTTTTTAGATCAAAATTATTGATAGTTGGGAGTGGGTTTAGGTGGGTGCAAATGGTTGGGAGAAGTGGTTGAAATTATTTCGAAAAATAAGTGGTTGAAAAAAAATTGAATGTTGTGTAGAATTATTGATTCCCGAAGTGACAGAGAATCTGTCAGAAAAATTAAAAGTTGATTGATTTAATTTAAAGTGAGTGGAATCTGTACACTTTTGTACCCGGAATATTTTTTTTAGATCAAAATTATTGATAGTTGGGAGTGGGTTTAGGTGGGTGCAAGTGGTTGGGAGAAGTGGTTGAAATTATTTCGAATAATAAGTGGTTGAAAAAAAATTGAATGTTGTGTAGAATTATTGATTCCCGAAGTGACAGGGAATCTGTCAGAAAAATTAAAAGTTGATTGATTTAATTTAAAGTGAGTGGAATATGTACACTTTTGTACCCGGATTATTTTTTTTAGATCAAAATTATTGATAGTTGGGAGTGGGTTTAGGTGGGTGCAAGTGGTTGGGAGAAGTGGTTGAAATTATTTCGAATAATAAGTGGATGAAAAAAAATGAATGTTGTGTAGAATTATTGATTCCCGAAGTGACAGGGAATCTGTCAGAAAAATTAAAAGTTGATTGATTTAATTTAAAGTGAGTGGAATCTGTACACTTTTGTACCCAGAATATTTTTTTTAGATCAAAATTATTGATAGTTGGGAGTGAGTTTAGGTGGGTGCAAGTGGTTGGGAGAAGTGGTTGAAATTATTTCGAATAATAAGTGGTTGAAAAAAAATTGAATGTTGTGTAGAATTATTGATTCCCGAAGTGACAGGGAATCTTTCAGAAAAATTAAAAGTTGATTGATTTAATTTAAAGTGAGTGGAATCTGTACACTTTTGTACCCGGAATATTTTTTTTAGATCAAAACTATTGATAGTTGGGAGTGGGTTTAGGTGGGTGCAAGTGGTTGGGAGAAATGGTTTAAATTATTTCGAATAATAAGTGGTTGAAAAAAAATTGAATGTTGTGTAGAATTATTGATTCTCGAAATGACAGGGAATCTGTCAGAAAAATTAAAAGTTGATTGATTTAATTTAAAGTGAGTGGAATCTGTACACTTTTGTACCCGGAATATTTTTTTTAGATCAAAATTATTGATAGTTGGGAGTGGGTTTAGGTGGGTGCAAGTGGTTGGGAGAAGTGGCTGAAATTATTTCGAATAATAAGTGGTTGAAAAAAAATTGAATGTTGTGTAGAATTATTGATTCCCGAAGTGACAGGGAATCTGTCAGAAAAATTAAAAGTTGATTGATTTAATTTAAAGTGAGTGGAATCTGTATACTTTTGTACCCGGAATATTTTTTTTAGATCAAAATTATTGATAGTTGGGAGTGGGTTTAGGTGATGCAAGTGGTTGGGAGAAGTGGTTGAAATTATTTCGAATTATAAGTGGTTGAAAAAAAATTGAATGTTGTGTAGAATTATTGATTTCCGAAGTGACAGGGAATCTGTCAGAAAAATTAAAAGTTGATTGATTTAATTTAAAGTGAGTGGAATCTGTACACTTTTGTACCCGGAATATTTTTTTTAGATCGAAATTATTGATAGTTGGGAGTGGGTTTAGGTGGGTGCAAGTGGTTTGGAGAAGTGGTTGAAATTATTTCGAACAATAAGTGATTGAAAAAAAATTGAATGTTGTGTAGAATTATTGATTCCCGAAGTGACAGGGAATCTGTCAGAAAAATTAAAAGTTGATTGATTTAATTTAAAGTAAGTGGAATCTGTACACTTTTGTACCCGGAATATTTTTTTAGATCGAAATTATTGATAGTTGGGAGTGGGTTTAGGTGGGTGCAAGTGGTTGGGAGAAGTGGTTGAAATTATTTCGAATAATAAGTGGTTGAAAAAAAATTGAATGTTGTGTAGAATTATTGATTTCCGAAGTGACAGGGAATCTGTCAGAAAAATTAAAAGTTGATTAATTTAATTTAAAGTGAGTGGAATCTGTACACTTTTGTACCCGGAATATTTTTTTTAGATCGAAATTATTGATAGTTGGGAGTGAGTTTAGGTGGGTGCAAGTGGTTGGGAGAAGTGGTTGAAATTATTTCGAACAATAAGTGATTGAAAAAAAATTGAATGTTGTGTAGAATTATTGATTCTCGAAGTGACAGGGAATCTGTCAGAAAATTTAAAAGTTGATTGATTTAATTTAAAGTGAGTGGAATCTGTACACTTTTGTACCCGTAATATTTTTTTAGATCGAAATTATTGATAGTTGGGAGTGGGTTTAAGTGGGTGCAAGTGGTTGGGAGAAGTGGTTGAAATTATTTCGAACAATAAGTGATTGAAAAAAAATTGAATGTTGTGTAGAATTATTGATTCCCGAAGTGACAGGGAATCTGTCAGAAAATTTAAAAGTTGATTGATTTAATTTAAAGTGAGTAGAATCTGTACACTTTTGTACCCGGAATATTTTTTTAGATCAAAATTATTGATAGTTGGGAGTGGGTTCAGGTGGGTGCAAGTGGTTGGGAGAAGTGGTTGAAATTATTTCGAACAATAAGTGATTGAAAAAAAATTGAATGTTGTGTAGAATTATTGATTACCGAAGTGACAGGGAATCTGTAAGAAAATTTAAAAGTTGATTGATTTAATTTAAAGTGAGTGGAATCTGTACACTTTTGTACCCGGAATATTTTTTTTAGATCAAAATTATTGATAGTTGGGAGTGGGTACATAATTGTAAAGTTTAAGCTTAGGACTACAAATTACTACAAATTACAAATTCAATTGATAACTTAATTCAAAATTATCAATTGAATTATTGAATTATTGAAACGTAATAGTAAAAGTACCTGATAATAATAACATAATATCAAATTCGATTGATAATTTAAAAGTACAATTTCAATTCATAATTGATAAAACTAATTACATACAACTATTCTGATTCATCAGATTCATAGTGTCGACCTGGCACCACGAAGTGACTCCCTGTCCCACAACGTCGAGAATGTATATCCCGTCTCGGCCTATGTTCAATTGGCGGTTGTGTGCTTGGCCCTGCTTCTTGCCCCATCCCACTCTGTACATCTGATCCTAATAAGTTGTTCAACCAATCAATTGGTGAATTTAAAAAGGTGGGACGTGTCTCATATGTAGGTTGTACATGTGGAATAAACGATGGCACATCAAACGTCGGAATGTATGCACTAGTCGGTGTAGAGTATTGATTAGGTACATGAGATGAGGAAGGGATGTGTGAATGAATATGTGAAGATGGTTGTCCTTCTTCTTCACCACCATCTTCGTCATCCTCTTCCCCCTCCTCCTCATCATCATTATCATCATCGTGATTATCATCATCACCATCATCATTGTCGACGTGTGGAGCAACATAACCGCGTCCGTAACGCCGACCTCTAGTGGCCGCGACTCTTCTACGGTCTTGCCGAAGTGGAGGATGATCATCCACTGCATCATCATGGGCATCCCCATAGAAAATGACGTCTTGATGAAGCACATTCTCGACACCTAATCCTGTAAGACATCGTGCAATTTGCTCGCGAATGTCTTCGACGTCAAATGGAGCTGTCATGCGCCGATAGATATCGCCCATACATTGCATCTAAAATTCAAAAGTAAAGTTATTAAATAATAATAAACATTTCTAAGTTGAATAATTACACATAAAATACTTACTAGTGTACTTGTCTCCCTGTTAGTAGTTACATAACCCGTTGTAGGTCGACCATGTAACGGATTGCAAATCCGTCGTTTCCCGACATTTGCGTACCATTCACGGTACACAGGAGTGTAGGTGGGATGATCAACAAACTCAAATGCGATACGACGATTGTGCCTCACCGCCCATAGTGTCAATGGCCATCCAGATTTTTTTGCACCACTTGCATGGTGGCTAGCTTGTGATTCCGCTGCGGGAGGAATATGTTGCATTGCACCGAATTGACGACAAAATCTACCAGGGTAGTACATCTCAGAAATGTCACAATATATAAGCATGACATTAGATGTCCACAAATCTACTCCCGCGACGCAGAACCTGGGGAGGGCTTGTAATGCGTATGGGCGCCACACGAACTGGATCAATATTATTTGAAGTTAATTCAAAAACATATTTATTTTCTATTAAACTAAAATGATATTGTTAATTATAACCTCGTTCTCTCGGATCCCGTCCAACTGATCTCGATAAATACGTAGAGTATACCGAGAACTTTGTTCCCAATTGTGCCGACATGCCCACCTTCATAAAAATAAGTTATTATACCATGACCTACAAATATATTTAATATACTAATACTTATTATGTAAAATTTCAAATTATACCTGCACCCATAGGGCATATCCTGTAGATTCTCATATGGCAAAACGTTTCGCGGCCGCACCATGGGCAATCTCTCCCACGCCCAAATATGCAATAGAAGCAAGCATCCCCCAATATTTCTCCTGTTCGCTTTGGCGGCCTTGCACATGTTGTAATACAGGAACCCCAATACTGCTGAGCCCCAACTCCACCGCCGTGCTTCACCGAGCGGTCCCTGCAACAACTCTAAAAAGTACAATTTTATTTTGTTCCCGGTAGTGGAGGGGAACAATAACCCACCTAGTAGTTGCCAAATGAGCACCCTCGTGTATGTGATGAGTTCCTCATTTGTGCTGTGCTGATGTACCGGCCAACGCTGTAGGGCATTCATTCTTATTACAGATGTGTTTAAGTCGTTGTTGTTTGGCGTGAAACCGGCGAAGTCCGTGCACATTTGCATCCAAAGTGCTTTCGAGTTTGTCCTAGGTCCGGACAGTGGTTCTCCGTCGATGGGCAACCCCAACAACACTTCTACGTCCTGTAAGGTGATGCCCACCTCACCAAAAGGCAAATGAAAAGCGTGTGTCTCTGGTCTCCATCGCTCAACCAACGCTGTAATAAGCGACCAGTCTAACTGCAACCTTCCGATGCAGTCGACGCCGTAAAAGCCGGAGGCCTTCAGCAACGCTACCACTCCTGGGTGACGCGGGCCGTCTTTGTACACCATTGAACAATATACATTACACCTCAACTTGTCATCCATGGATGTAGCATCATTCCAGACAAGGTCCGCTCGATGCGCGTAACGTGGCATCACCAGCACAGACCGATCAACCGGGTCCATAAGTGGTATTTGTGCAGCCATTCGTATCTCAACTGACAATAAGAATCATATATTAGTGTTATATATGTGTGTGTATGTATATTATAATGACGTGTTTTATTAAATGAAATTATAAACTACACATAAACTTTCAATGAAACTATATCAATCTTATGTATTACATTATAATATATGTACGGTTGATAATGGGCTTATCCACTGAACAATATTACCAGCGTGCCAGAAACTAGAAAAGGACTAGTTCTAGACGAGCTTGTGAAAATTGTACCAGTATAGTGCAATTATATTATATGTTCCCATACAAATTTTAGACTTGCCACTGAGTAATATTCTCACTGTGCCAGAAACTAGAAAAGGACTAGTTCTAGACATAACGTTTGCCAGAAACTAGAAAAGGACTAGTTCTAGACGAGCTTGTGAAAATCGTACCAGTATAGTGCAATTATATTATATGTACCGATACAAATTTTAGACTTGTCACTGAGTAATATTCTCACTGTGCCAGAAACTAGAAAAGGACTAGTTCTAGACATAACATTTGCCAGAAACTAGAAAAGGACTAGTTCTAGACGAGCTTGTGAAAATCGTACCAGTATAGTGCAATTATATTATATGTACCGATACAAATTTTAGACTTGTCATTGAGTAATATTTTCACTGTGCCAGAAACTAGAAAAAGACTAGTTCTAGGCATAACATTTGCCAGAAACTAGAAAAGGACTAGTCTAGACGAGCTTGTGAAAATTTTACCGGTATAGTGTAATTATAATTTATGTTCGCTTTTATGGCTCAATTATAATAAATGTTACGGAGTATGAACTAAATTATATTACGTAGTATAATGTTATTTGGAAATAAGTAGTGATGACTAAATTAAAATGTTCAACTAACTAAACTAAATTTAAATTGTAATCGCAACGTAGTCTCAAATTACCATATACACTAATTTAGTACTCCCTCTGTCCTAGAAAATTCTTCACACTTTAAGTGTGGTTGTAGTTGTGTAAGAAAAAGGTCAAATTAATGTGAACCACACAAATTGTCCAAAAATGGTAAGTGGGAAGAATTTTTTGGGACGGTCCAAAAAAAAGTGAGAAGAATTTTATGGGACAGTGGGAGTATTTAATACATTAGTAACAAATATTAATGAACCAATAATTAGAATAATTGAAAAACAGTAAATGTGCTTACATTATCAACATAAATTAACTACTGTAAAGGAAATACTACAAATAATTATAAGTTATGGGCTAATTATTTCTATTGTTATATATTTAGTATGACATATATCAACAATCTTAATAGCAATTAAGATTAATTACATATTAATATTAAGATTTTCGAAATATTCAGGCTGACATAACACAACCAGTACAAAAAATTAACGGTAAAGAGTAAATATATAATTAAAATTCTAACCTTTCTTTGAAAAACTCGGAGAATAGAATTAGCAAGAACACTCAATAGTTTTTTGTAACTAAATTTATTTTTATGGTAGTAGGCTTAATATGATGTTGAAGTGATTTAAATAGGTGAAGTTTGAGATTGGGAGTATGTATTTCCGTGTAAAACAATGGACAGTTGGGATGAGTTTGTTAAATCCTACGGTTGAAAAATGAGCTGAAGAAGCACGATCCGGGTAAACTTGGATTGGCCAATCCGGGAGCTTCATATTTCGGATTAGGGAAATCCGAATTTCTTTGCCTACTGACACACGGCTTTTCACTCCTGACATCCGATTTCTTTTTTTTGGTTTTGAACATTTCGGATACACCAAATCCGTTTTTCACTGAAAATAAAACCCAAAGTCGGATTAGGAGAATCCGAAAAAAGGGATGCTGACAGACAAAATTGGTAACCTAATGCTGACATTCATATTTTGGGAATGGAGGCATCAAACTCCCGTAAATCCATCCTTTCCTCCTTTTTATGTGTATACACTTTTACACAGTGTGTGTAGGCTTTTCTTTTTATCTGTACAGACAAAATGTATTTTGTGCATACTTTTATATGTAAAAAGAAATGGATTGTTTCATAATTACTGTTATTGTTCCAAATTGTTCCAAAAAAGGTGGAATCTTCCACTCCAGGAGCCCCCCACCCCGACCTGACAGGATGGTGGGGAGGTTAGTCACGGTGACTCAGTCAGTAGGTCCATACACCCGTGTGCACCAGAGGCCCAACATTATTTCAGGTTCTGTGACCTCCACCCGGTCGCTGACCAAAACTCCGTATGAATTATGTCTATTATACATTTATGTACTGGCCAAGAATTTGATGACGAGTCATGACCAAAACTCCGTGTAAACATAATACGGAGTATTATTCCGGCTTAGATTCCTAAGAAATTGAGTTTTTATTATTCGACCTAGAAATACAATTGCACTCAGCAGGTACAATATTACCCAGCGATTTGGTGAATTAAAATATACGTACTACATACATATATAAGTTCCTCCTGAAATAAACTCCATACCATTCGCCCGTTAGATTGATATTATAGTCCGATTTACATCCTTTCAACGTACTTTCTGGTCGGCATCCTTTTTTTCATATCATTCGCCTGTTTACTCATTGAAATATGGGATGAAAGTTACCGTCCAGCTGGAATGCACGTAGTATTTGTTAATAGTATACACAATTGCTTTACCAAAATTGTGGTACATCAAAACCTTTATATGATCTCACAGCATTGTCGAAAACAAAATTTCATGAAAGATGGAGACAAATTTAGTCTCTTTGGTACAAGAGGATTATGAACTAAAACAACAGCAATCAATAACTAAAATGACTCTTAGGCTGTGCTTTTCTTCTTAAGCTTTGAGAGCTCCAGGCTAACAATTCCAGCCTTCTGCAAATATTAAGAAGTACCAAAAATTTGTGAATAAAGTTACCTTTTCTATTGGATTACAAAACGTTGAGATTCATGGAACATAATACCATAGAGAAACCGATTTTCTATATTTGATACGAAGAGATAAATGGACTAGGCTCGAAAACAATTTACCGACCTTGCTTTTGCCAGCATGATCTTAAACCTGTCAAAATCATTTAAAGTTGCTCTCCTCTCGTGCACAATCAACTTCCTTCCCCACGAGCTCTTCTCCCATTTATTCTTGACATCTTGGAGCATATTGAAACAAAAGATTAAAGACAATGATTGATCAAGGCCAAATAGCCCAAACAAGGTAGACATTCTAACCATATTGCCTAGGTCTTTGAGGGCAATAAACTTACCTTATTTGAATTTATACGTTCTATATGGATATGATTTTCATAATTGAATACTTTTAACTCATTTTTGTAAGATAAACTTACCTTATTAGGTTGTCAAAAAATATGAATATTTTCTTAAATTTAACTTTACAATTTTTTTTACTTAAATCACTTTATCTCTTTATCTATATCATTTCACAATTTAAGCTTTGTGGATCTATCTTACTATTTCTCCCCCTTTAAGGTTATAGTTATAAAGACATAAACACATCACTATACCTTTTATTTCCTTAACTCACACTAAACCCCCACGTATTTTAAAGAAGGTAGTAGAAATTAGATGATGTTTTCTGATTTGATTGCCTGCCAATTTTGGCTCGATTTAGGTATTTGTTTGGTCCGATATTTGGTAACTTCCAAAAGGTGGAATCTCCCACCCTAGGAGCCCTCCACATCCCGACCCGACATGATTTTTGGGAGAATGTAAGTCACGGTGACTCAGTCAGCCCAATGATGGTAGGAATTATACCTGTGCGCACCTGAGGTATAGCCCAACACATAGGACACTACATGAAATTCGGATTTTTATGGCGGTAATTAGTGGCGGATCTTTGTCTGCTGTTAATCCCTGGCGGAAAGTAGTGGCGGATGGTTATCTGTCGTAAATGCATGGCGGATTAATTTGGTCACAATTTAGTGGCAACTATTTGTGGTGGTACTATTTCGACACTGATCAACGACGGATTTTTGTGGCAGACTAACTTGCCACAAAACAGCAGGGGAAGATTCCGCCACTGTATTTCGTCACTAAAGTACAAAATATTTAATTTTTCTCACCAACCAAAATTCATTCTGCAATCACCTCATATCTACCCATTCTCTCTCAACCACTTATCTTCTCCATCATGTTCAACGAGCTTAAGCCCTAAGGTATGAAATTTCTTATTTCTTATAAAATATTTAATTTATTTGTTTTTAATCTTGTGATTTGTACTTATAAAACTTAGTTGAACACACTTTGGGTAGTTTCAATTCGTTTATTTTATGTTTAAAAACATTTGAAGATGGAGATGATGATAAAATGATGTTTCGATCTATGATGTATATATATTAATTTTATGATGTGTATACATTTGTGTTAATGTTAATTACGTTGCTTGTGTTTAAAAATTTGTAGACTTACCCATTAGTTCAAATAATTTAACAACTAATGCTATTAATTATATATTAATTATTAGGTTAGTTGAAAGATAAGTAATTAATTGAACTTGTTGGTTTATTATTATTATTACTATTTTTATTAGTATTATTATATATTATTATTATTATTATTATTATATATCCTAGTCACGAACTAGGATATGAAAACTTCCAAGATTAGATTAATTTAATTTACTTTGTCAGGTGGCTCAACACCATCTGTACCTTCTACTATGCAAGGGGGAAACCCTATTCTCAATCTGGCTGCATTTAAAGGACTAGGAGGTGCCGGGCAGAAAAATAAACCAAGCAATTCAGCCAACAAGGTGTTAAGTAGTTCAGGTGGTGCATTTAAAGGACTAGGGGCTGCCGGGCAGAAGAATAAATCCAGTAGTTTGACGAAAGACCTATCAAGTAGTTCAGGGCGCCCAACACCGTCTCAAGTACCTCCTTCACAATATAGTGGAGGTCGTGGTCCCAGGCCAACTCCTACTCCAACGATTAACCAGCAGCCAAATGTTCCGAATTTCATAAACCGCCAAAATGACATACAAACTTTCTCCAACCAGCAACACTCATCAAACATGAATGATGAGGAAATAGAAGGCAATGAGCAGGCACGTAATGAAGATGCAGAACCAGAGCTTATTGAGTGGAAACCCGGTGCTTATAGTGATCTTAAGTGGGGGGTAGAACCGTTGGACCCTTTCAGATCCATTTCGTTGTCAAAATTTGAAAGGCCATGTGTCGGTATAAATGCCGCAGGAGAGTGAGTTTATTTTGAACTCTATTATTGGTTTTAAAAAGTAAATTTTCACTCACTATTGTCATACATTTATATTGACATGTTTTTTTTAAATCTAACTGCAGCGTTATTAATATACATGTGGGCAAAGGATGTTTGCGCTTTCAAGGTATTGTTTCAAAACAGATCAAGTATAATCTACATCCGGCCGGTCAGCGATGGAAATGGGTCCCAAAGACAACAAAAAAACAATATTGGGAACAATTTCAGGTTTATTATTTTAATTAAAAAAACGAATTGTAGTGGGAGGTTGTTTAAAGTATCCGGTTAACTAGTCAGTTACTTTATAACTTATTCAACTCACTGAAAGTAGTCACATTTAGTTTATAATTCCTGCAATGGGCCTATTCAAGTTGACACTATAATACTAGAAAACAATCTTGTAAAATTTCATACTAAGCAATCTTGAGATTTAACCTATTTCTTCTTTGCATGTAGGATATAGTCAATTGGGATATTACCCAGTTTGATGCTAAAGGCATAAAGAAAGGTTATAAGAGATATTTGAGTCAACATGCGTATTCCAATATAGTGAATAGAATCAGGTAAACATAACAGATTGTATTCAGTTATGTACTTATCTATATTGGCGTAAGAATATTGACGAGCACTTTGTCACGGTGCGTCAAAATAAATTCAATACTATCACTAATACGAGGTATAGCGTAGTAGAGTTCGTATCCACAGGGAAAGGAATAATTCTCTTTTTATGAAACTTAGTAAATAAAAGGGGGGGTTTGGATTGAGTGATTTAATTTAATTAAAAACTAAGATGAACGACCTATATGAGATTTAATTCAAAGATAAAAAGGACTTGGCATTGCTACTTTCCACTTGTTGATATATTTTAGTCGATCATTGTTATATCTATAACTTATTCCCTCTCGAATATTCAATCGGGGACTATATCCACTTCATCGAGGGTAGTTATTAACAACGACCGTTCATTAATAACCCTTACTATTAATCAAATATAGAACAACGCCTTATACCGATTTAATAGTAGCATATAATCTTTCTAACTCCTTGATGAAATCAATTGAGATTGATAACCTCAACACAAGCGGTTTCGGTTTAACCAACAAAATTAATCCCTCTTAAGTTTATTAACCACGACCGTGCATTAATAAACCGAAGTTACTTACTTGTCATCTTAGCAACACTCCCCAATATTAATATAGAGGAAGAAAATATCATTCTAACTAATGTCGAGATGTTAACTAATTGTCATCTTAGCAACACTCCTCAACATCAATATAGAGATGGTATTAAGGAAAGAACTATTAATTAATATTCAAGGAAAGAAGTTAAGAAAATAACTCACAACTTTAATAATCAACAAGCTTCAAGAGCAACACCAAGAATGGAAGTTTAGCTCCTCATTTGGAGACTAAACATAGCTAGAAAAATATAAAGAAATGCTTTTCTAAACTGAGCTAAAGAGTATGGAAGAAGGGATGATTTTTTGTGAAGAAAAAGTGTGCTATTTATAGGTGTTTTTCAACACCTTTGGCCGGGTACCCGACCGGGTCAAGTACTCACCCGACCGGGTCCGGTCAAAATCAGATAATTCCCCACGTTCTGGTGATCTTTGCACACCGGGTTGTCCCCGGTCACTTCTCGCCCGACCGGGTGAGGTATGGGGCCCGACCGGGCCCAGCTCTTTCCTCAGTGCTTCGGTTTTCAAATCAGACCCGACCGGGTGCAATTTCCTACCCGGTCGGGTATTTGCTCCTGGACAGTTAAAATTCCTTTTTCTTCACTTCAACATCCTCCTTTCCAACATCCTAATTCCTAATTCTACTTTAAAACTTACAAATGAGAACTAAAATACAATTACAACTAAAATCACACAAATGTTTACAAACCAAATAAAACGTCAAACAATCACCATCAATGAAACATAAAAATATACAATTATGCACTACTAATTAGTGTGCATCAAACACCCCCACACTTAAACCTTTACTCGTCTCGAGTAAATCAAATCAAATCCAAGAAGTCCTAAATGACAAGAATATCAATACAAAACATCCAAGAGTGTTTTTACCACAATACAAAGCATCCCCAATAATAATTAAAGTAAATTGGGGTCTTCAACTTCATCTTTATACCCATTTCTCTTTTGAACTTATCACCTTCAGGATCCTGCAAAATAGACATTTCTCTCATTCTCTCGTTTTGCCTAGGTGCCCTTTCAGGTTTTCATCCCAGCTTCCCACATTTTTTTTATTTCTCACAACCTCACTCTTTATTTTATTGCTTTAATTTTTGCTTGAGTTGCCCTTTGTGGGTTTTCAACTCAACAAGCTCTTTTTTTTTAAGAAAATAAAATAAAACAAGTAGGATTGTGAGCATACCAGAACAATCTTTGCACCCCCACACTTAGGATCTGACACTGTCCCTAGTGTCCGCCTAGACCTCCACCTTGGTGTCTGTCCTCATCCATGTGATCCCCGCCATAACCACCATCGTAGCCTCCACCACCGGAGCTCGATCCTCCAAAGAAACCCCACTGAGAGGGGTCATACCATGATGGTGCAGGAGGTGGAGTGGTCATAGAGGAAAAGGAGCCCTGGTGTGCTACATAGGAGTATATCGGACCAAAGGTTCGCCGTTGGTCCTCTTCATATCTCCGCCAGTCTTCCTGCCGTTGTTCCTCCAACCTCTCAAAGCTATGCCTCTGTTCAGTTCTATACTGATCAACTCGCTCTTGAAGCTGGATGTAGTTGTTGTTGATCATGTTCATGTTATTGAGCATCTGTTGCTCGAATGGAGAGTCAAGTAGCCGGCTTGACTTCTTTGGTTAAAAGGGTGGGTTTGGATTGAGTGATTTAATTTAATTAAAAACTAAGATGAACGACCTATATGAAATTTAATTCAAAGATAAAAAGGACTTGGCATTGCTACTTTCCACTTGTTGATAAATTTTAGTCGATCATTGTTATATCTATAACTTATTCCCTCTCGAATATTCAATTGGGGAGTATATCCACTTCATCGAGGGTAGTTATTAACAACGACCGTTCATTAATAACTCTTACTATTAATCAAATATATAACAACGCCTTATACCGATTTAATAGTAGCATTTAATCTTTCTAACTCCTTGATGAAATCAATTGAGATTGATAACCTCAACACAAGCGGTTTCGGTTTAACCAACAAAATTAATCCCTCTTAAGTTTATTAACCACGACCGTGCATTAATAAACCGAAGTTAATTACTTGTGAAACCATCAACGATTAACCATCGGTTCGTTGATCGTTTCTAGTAATAACTAATATATGAAACAAAACTAGTTGATCCTTTAAGTAATGTTCAAAATATTAATATGAAATATGAGTAGGGATTAATTAATATTCAAGGAAGAATATTATTAAAGAAGATGAATCCTATTATAATTAATATCAAGATGTTAACTAATTGTCATCTTAGCAACACTCCCCAATATTAATATAGAGGAAGAAAATATCATTCTAACTAATGTCGAGATGTTAACTAATTGTCATCTTAGCAACACTCCTCAACATCAATATAGAGATGGTATTAAGGAAAGAACTATTAATTAATATTCAAGGAAAGAAGTTAAGAAAATAACTCACAACTTTAATAATCAACAAGCTTCAAGAGCAACACCAAGAATGGAAGTTTAGCTCCTCATTTGGAGACTAAACATAGCTAGAAAAATATAAAGAAATGCTATTCTAAACTGAGCTAAAGAGTATGGAAGAAGGGATGATTTTTTGTGAAGAAAAAGTGTGCTATTTATAGGTGTTTTTCAACACCTTTGGCCGGGTACCCGACCGGGTCAAGTACTCACCCGACCGGGTCCGGTCAAAATCAGATATTTCCCCACGTTCTGGTGATCTTTGCACACCGGGTTGTCCCCGGTCACTTCTCGCCCGACCGGGTGAGGTATGGGGCCCGACCGGGCCCAGCTGTTTCCTCAGTGCTTCGGTTTTCAAATCAGACCCGACCGGGTGCAATTTCCTACCCGGTCGGGTATTTGCTCCTGGACAGTTAAAATTCCTTTTTCTTCACTTCAACATCCTCCTTTCCAACATCCTAATTCCTAATTCTACTTTAAAACTTACAAATGAGAACTAAAATACAATTACAACTAAAATCACACAAATGTTTACAAACCAAATAAAACGTCAAACAATCACCATCAATGAAACATAAAAACATACAATTATGCACTACTAATTAGTGTGCATCAAATATAATGTAAAATCATTGATAACATTTGAAGGAAAAAATGGCCTCTGACCGTAAACAATTTCACATGGGCTGTCCTTGAAGAGTTTAAAAGGTCAAAGCAATTCATGAAATCATCTGCGTCGGGTAAAAAGAATCGTATGACTGGTGGAGATAGGTGTAAACAATATGGGCCGGTGGATCTAGAGCAGCAGTTGATGTGGCAGCACAAGAGGTTAATTGTATAAGTTTTTTTTTATAGATTTTGATATATGTTGTTCCTTCATTGATTGAAAGTTATGAATTTTGTTCTAGTTGAGAGTCTCGGGTGAGCACATAAATCCTTTCAAGCTTTGTGAAACATATCACCCAACGAAGCGCAAGAATGGGGAGATAATTCATTCTCAATCGGAAGTTAAGGTAGAAATTATATTTCCAGTTTATGACATTTATGGCATTTAGATTTGGTCAGATTGCGTGTTATTTATATTTGCAATTTAACGTTTGTAATCCAAAGATTACACATTTTATAGAAACTTTTAGGCAAGTTAATGTCATTTTATTTTCTGACTGAGCATGTATTATTAGCATGAGTATGATATGTTCTGAGCATGAGTGTCTTATTCAATTCTGAGCATGATCATGTTATATTTTTTGTTAAGTGGAGCATGCTTTTATTGTTAAGTGGAGCATCTTTTGTTTCTGTAAAATTTATGTGCCTTCTTTTGTTAATTTGACAAAATGGGTCTATTTTACATTTGCATTAATGATCAAATTTGTATATTTATATGCTCATATTTTTTTTGTTCGGCCATGTTTTATTAGCATGAGTATGATATGTTCTGAGCACGAGTGTCTTATTCTGAGCATGACTATATTATATTTTTTTGTTAGCCGGAGCATGCTTAATGCTTTTATTGTTATGTTTAGCATGTTTTGTTTCTGTAAAATTTATGTGTGTTTAATTTGCACAATATATGTTCTATTCTATCAAAACATTGTGTCATGTTTATGTTATTTTTCTGTCTAATGTGCATAAATGAATTATGGTACAAAGGAGGCCATTTCAAAGGTGTATGCTGCATTTCAAGAGCATATTGAGAATTGTCAATCGTCTGACAATGGAGATGGGATCTCTAATGTGCGTAAAATTACTTTAAGTGAGTTCAATTCCAAATACTTAGAAGTGGCGGGATGCAAAAGAAAAAGAGTTTTTGGAACGGGAAGATATGCAAAAGCGTTCCTTCATCAAGTGGAAACAAGTGAGAAAAGGTGTTCATCTTCACGACGCTTGACTGATTTTTGTGTTGTTTGGGATAAATGGTTGAGGAAATGGTTTGGCTCACAAGGTTATGAGTGTCCATTACCAATGCCACCAATAGATGCTCGATTGCAACTTCAAGATCCTGATTCACAACCAAAGAGTTTTGAACAAACTTGGCTTTCATTTTTCAAGGAGCATGGAATAATGGATCCACCATCTTTTTTCCCGCCATCTAATTGCTCGTCTCAAGACTCTCAAGATTCCCAAGACTCCCAAGACTCCGAAGACTCCGAAGACTCCGAAGACTCTGAAGACTCACATCATCAACCCCCCTCTCATTAGTTATGTATTATTGAATTATGTATGAACTGAATTTTATTTAGATGACTTGAGGTGCTATGTGTTCTGTTTTTTGATGACTTTCAGTTTTTATGTATTTTGATTTTCTATGTGACAATGAATTCTAATCAATCTATGTATGTGTTGGTGACTCCATCATGTTTAAAATATTAATATATTGTGTTGTTTTGGGTATCTACTTTGTATACATAATTAATAATATATGTTGTGGTAATCAGCATTTGTATCATTGTAGTATTTCAATTTTTTTTGAATATTGTTTTGTTTGTGTCAATTATTTTAAAATAATTAGTTTCTTTGTGGCAGATTTTACTGGCGAAGTATTTGTCACTAATAATAGTGGCGGATTTGCAGCCACTATTTTCCGTGTTTATTTTGCGGCAGAACTTCTTATCCGCCAAGAAGCTCATTAATGTCAAGATTTCAGTGGCAACATTTACGCCACTAATATCCGTCAATACCTCTTTTAGTGGCGGTTTTTGTGGCGGTTTTGCTGCCACTAAAAACCGTGATTCTTGTAGTGGGAGCTGTAATCTCCAAACGGCCAAATTTCCCACCACTGAACCAACTGAAATACCCGTGCGGATTTGTAATTTCAGATGATATAAAATAGGAAAGTGGACGTATTAGAGGAATCAGATATATTGCAGTAAAAACACTTTATATTGTTCGAGTACCACTAAGTATTGGATATTTTTCAGAAAATACCACCAAACTCTAATTTTCTTATCATTTTTGTGTATAATGCATTGAATATTGTTCAAGTACCACTTGTTGTACAGCAAATTGTTAGCTATATAGATCTCAACATAATCTACAAAAAAATTGATTACGACAAATAGATACCAATTCAATGCCTTGGCATTTGGCAATATACGAGTATAATATATGCCCATCCCTGGCCAGCCAATCACATATTTTCTAAATCATCATCAACTACCCGAAATAAATTCAAGATTCAACTATACCCTCCCCAGCCAATCACTATATATATTATATTATGCTGATGATCGATATAAACTTCATCCATTTCCGTAGAATTAATGTACGAAAAAGAGAAAGGTTTGAATTATATTTATATACAAGTAAAATATAATACTGGAAGCTAAGGATCAAATTTCTTTCAATTGGATCAGATTGATAATGGCAGCTCCATTAGGTTGTTTCCCCAGCGGTCTTTCTCCTCCTGGTTTTCCGTCGAGCGGAAACCCTATTTCTAAGCCGCCAAACTCTGCTAAAAGCTTTCTCATCGCAAATGGTGTCGGAAGTTACAACCATCTTTGCTCTTCTTCACTTCTTGAAACTGCCAAAAGTTTGGACAGTAGTCATCATGCTGTACCTAAGAGGTTGTTTTGTTTGGAGAAATTATTTAAGGAAAATTTCCAAGTAAAGAAAACTTGAAATTCTAAATATGAGTACTTACTTATTTTTTCTAATTGTGCGCAATGAAAAATTGCAGAGGTCTAGTTGTGCGCATTGGCAGCGGAGCTGGTGTCGAACCTGCTGCTGGATCTTTCCTCGACCCCGATCCGATGTAAGATACTTGAACCCTACGTCCCTTGATTAAGTTCACATCTAAAACAAAATTTATCAAGGGTACATGCATGTAATAGGAAGCTAATCTCTACTGTACAATCCTCAGCCCTGTGGTAATTTCGGAATATTTCTTTCAATTCTTCTTTTGTATGGTCATGCTACTCAATCACCCCGGCCGTCTTAAATAATTGCCTATTTGCAGAAAGGGTTGGCTGATAGGGCTTTTGCTATCTGCGGTTGTTCCATTTTTCCGTCACAAATTTGGGTCTCTTATGCAAATCAGAAGTAAGATTTACTTTGTATTTGCAGTTTTAATCAAATAATAGACTATTTATGCCTGAGATCGAGTCTTCTTGTAATTAATTTATTACGTCATTCTTCATGTAATAGAAATCATATATATATCTAACTTAATTAAGTTAAGGGAGATTTACCTAAATAAGAGTAAATAAAAGGATAATTGCAACAATAGGAGTTTAAAGTTTAAATTCTCAAAATAGGACTAACTCTTCCTATTCTACCCTTTCCTTTGTCCTTGATAATAGGATTTTTAAACAATCAATATAAACTATAAAAAAATCAAAATAAAAAAATAAAAAACATAAAAAATAATTAAAAAATATATAGACCCCAACCACCACCTCAGCAACCTTCCAGCACCGCCACCTTCGGTCGCCAGAAAAGATTGCCAAGTTGGGGGAAAATGTCATCATGATGGCAATTTTGAAGAGAAAGCAAGACAAAGCTAGATATTTTCAAATAATAAAAATGCTATCTTTATAGTATTTTCAGAGAAATGTATCATTTTTTACACAAGATGACATTTTTTTCTGACGACCAGAGTCGGTGGTGCTGGGAGGTAGAGGACGCGTTGGCAATGACGTACATATTTTTTAAATATTTTTTAGGTATTTTATTTTATTTTTTGGACTTTTTAAAAATTTTTAAATTATTTTTTAATTATTTTTTATTTTTTATTTTTATTTTATTTTTTCATGTTTTCATTATTATTTTATGAATATTTTATTATTTTTTATATTTTTATTATAAATAACACTATGATTTTCTTATTAATAAACTAAATCTATTGGAAATGATATGAAAGGGGTAGAATGGAAAGAAGAGACATATATTAGTCCTATTTTGGGAATAAAAGGATTGTACTCCTATTGTTTAGGGATGGATTCGGGCCGGGCCTAGGCCCGGTCGGGCCGCCGGTTCAAGAACAGTGGGCCCGGGACCGGCCCGAGGGTTGGACGGGTCCGGTTCGGGCCGGGCCACCCGCCCGGGTCACGGGTCGGGTCCGGTTCGGGCCGGGCCGGTTAATTTTTTTTTTATAATTTATATTTTATATTTTATAGTTTATAGTTTTATACGAGTATTAAAAACAAACTTCAATTGCATTTATTTGAAATGAAATAGGAACTACATTTGAAAATTAAAACAAACTTTAAGAGATATACATTTTGAAAATTGTAATCAATCGGAACTTCCCGCACCTCCCGATCCTTTGGCTTTGTCACATGACTTCATATGTTTGATTGCCATCCTGAATCCGCCTGAAGCCCCCATAATACATTTTTTTCCGCACCATTTACAAATTGCGTACCACATCCCGGTCTTCGGGTCCTTCTGCTTATCAAAATTATACCGTATAATGGCATTTTGATTTTCCATCTTAACTTCTTGGAGAAGAGAATTAGAGAGTAGATATATAATATATTGGAGAATAAGAGAATTAGAGAGTAGAGAGTTAAGAATAGGATTTAGGAAGAATTGGAGAAGAGATATGAAAACATGTTTAAGAGTAGGAGAATTTATAGGTTTTTTTACCCCCCACCCCCCCCCACCCCCACCCCCTACCAGCCAACCCCCCCGGACCCCCCCTTTACCCCACCCAACGGCTATATAGCCGTTTGGGTTGTCCCCAGCCCCACCCCCAAGGCCTCAACGGCTAGTAGCCAAAAATAAAAATAAAAAAGTTTTTTTTTTAAAATAGACCCGGACCCGGGCCCGGGCCCGACCCGGCCGGGCCGGGTCACAAAAATGATGAACCGAGCCCGCCCCACCCCTTCCCCCCGGTTCGGGCCCAGACCCGGTCCCGGACCGCCCGACCGGGCCGGTCCCGGGCCCGCACAGTACCGGGCCGGGCCGGGTCACGGGCCGGGTGGCCCGAACCGAATCCATCCCTACTATTGTTGAATTTTGGGCTTGTTTTACTCCTACAAAGGGCTAATACCCATTAAGTTAACTTACTCCCTCTGGTCCTTAATTAAATACACTTTCCTTTTTAGGTCGTCTCATATTAAACTTTACACTTCCTTATTTGCCTTATTTGGCAAACAAATCTACACCAAACAATGCAAAACAGTGTTAAACAGTGTCAAATAGTGTCAAACAGTGTACTTTACAGTAAAGTCAAATTTATTTCCTTAATATGTGTGAAGTAAAAGTGTAAAGTTTAATAAGGAAAGGAGGGAGTATAAGAATGTCGTCATTGACGGTAATCGAAATTTTTACCTTCATCCCTCACACATCTATTAAACCTAATTAAAATACACAGACTATTTACGCGTCTGATCTTTGTGTTTGCTGTTTATATAATCTTGCAAATAAAGTTCGTTGACTTTTTCGAGTGTACAGATTCTATAGAACAGGTGGAAGAAGTGGTCCATGGCTTAGAGAAGGTGGCGGAGGTGGTGGACAAAGTGGCTGAAGAAATAGGCGGGACTCTTCCTGACGGAAGTTTAAAAGAAGCGGTGGCGATGGTGGAACGTGCGGCGGAGAAAGCCGATAAGAGCGCCGAAAATTTAGGAGAGTTAATTGATAAGGTGGAAGAATTGGGAGAGAAGGTGGAGGAGCGCGTGGAGTCTTTGGTGGCATTGGCGCGCCACCAAGCTAAAGAACATACTCCTCACAAACCTGCCAGAGTGGACAATTTATAAATGAAATTTATTACGTAGTATTTTCGCAAGAAAACATCAAATTAAATACTCCTTCCTTCGAAATATTTTTATTTGTGCGTTTTCATCTCATCACTGAATTTGTGTTATATATACTTGATCATGTGCATATCTTAAAGGTTGAAACTCATTTATAATGTAATTTTAAGTCCAGTCTTTACGTTCCAACCACTAAACGTACGTCAATTACATGATCATCTGTATCATTAACTGCTGAAACAAGGAAATTCATTGGGGTTAAGAATTTCACATTTTGAATAGAAGAATTGGCGAATGTAATAATCACATAAATGTTCACACACAAGGGTACTCATTCCCCCAAAAATTACTACAAACTACTTAAAATTTCCGAAAGATGTAGGACACCTTTCTTAACATTCAAATAAGTTAAATTTGATGAATGTTATGAAATTGTGACTAGAATAGCTCAATTGGTTGAATCCGTTTAACGGAGGGGAAAAAATATGTAGTATTTAAAATATATTCTATTAAAAATATAAGAAAAAATTATATAAAAGTAGCTAAAAAGGTACTCTACAATATCGGCCAATTTAACAAGAAAAGTAACTTCGTCCTTATTTATTTTGATTATTCCTAATTTCAGTGTGCAAAGTCAAAAACTACATTATACTATACTACGTACATTTAAAAAAATGACTGATAAGATCAAATAAAGGTTGCCAAATAGGCTGGTAAAAAGTGGCACCATAATTGGAAATGAAGCCTTATTTTTGAAGGAAAATTTCTAGGTTTGATGTACGTATTTAGGAAATTGTATGTTTGCTTTAGGCTATGTAGAGTATGACAGATGCATCTAGATTTTTTTTACTTTACATATATCTATGAATATTCAGAACGAAGCAAGCATGAATAAAAGATTATTGTTCATCATCCATATTGTAGCAGGTCGTCCTCCACCAGAACCACCTCTGTGCTACGAATTTGGAGAACGACTTTATATCAGTATCATTTTTTGGATGTGTATGGTTGAAATATTTGGATATTTGGTGATCTTTTATTAGTCAGTACTCTGTTTCCTATTGATTAGGCTTAAAATTGCTTATTTTATCTCTAACAAATCAGATTGATTTGAATGATATGTGGATGACTCTCTGTCTATTTCTAGAATTTATGATCAAATTTGTAAGAATTCTTTTAAGGTTGTGGGGAAATTTGCAATAGTCAACCTGTAACTTTCGGCCGTTATCATTATTAGTCCTGTAACTTTAGTAATTTGCAAATTCGGTCCTATAACTAATTAATATTTGCGATTTAAGGACTTTTTCCCTGAAAAGTACACTTTCCGATAATAGCATACATGAAAAGATGTCACCGGCGTTGACCTTTTCTGCCGGAAAGTGTACTTTCCGATGGGGATCGCTCACTGTTTAGGCACGGTGCCCCCCACGGCCTCCACGACCTCCTCTTCTCCCTCTAGAACTATGAGATGTGGCCCGGCTAGCCCTACGGAGGCTCCCGCAACAAGTCCTCTAGGGTTGTTTCTCGTCGGCATACGTCTACCGTCCATTTCTACAAAGAAATTTGAACAAGTCGTTAGACTCCAATCAATGTCAATTGACGGAACACATTATAGACACATATGGGCCCAAGTCACCGCCATACAAATTGTTAAGGGTACCATCTTAACAACTAGAGACCTTGCAACCTAGGTAACAATAGTCCTATAAACGTCAAAATACAATGCTCATGGTTTTCGGAAAAACTCCTTTGTGAAATCTCTTGTGAGAGGTTGATTACATAGTTTAGAACTGAGATGGCTCTGATAACCACATCACATTTAGACCAATGAGTAACGGAAATATTCAACAGTAAAGCATGGGACACAACCGGCCAAAACATGGGCTCACGGACCCAAAATAATTTATAGTAAATCAAATATCCATGAGCAAGTGTTTGGTAGTTTGAAAGGAAATAAGGAAGCACGAACCACATCTTCCTTGATTTGAGTTCACCCGTAAGAAGGTGCAGGTAGCAAGCCCTAGCTTCAACTTGAAAATGCTGGGGGGCCCGAAGGGGTCAGTACAAGTATCGAGCGAGTAGCAAGCTAAATATAGAGTAACTAACGTTTCAAGAATAAGACCCAAACATAGGGTGAAACATGTATGTATAGTACCTTTCCCCAAGTTATAAAATACATATCAGTATATATATATATATATATATATATATATATATATATATATATATATATATATATATATATATATATATACACACTTGGAAATACCCGACCCATAAGTCATTGTTTATTTGGGAAAAATCATAGTAGTCATTATCCTTGACTTAAATCCCAACCCACCCATATCCTATGAGTGTATAGGACTCCTCCTGGTCCAAATGAATTTATACATACGAGTTTGAGGACAGTATCGCCGTTCTTGGATTCTCTATCATATATACATATGAGTTTAGGGGACAGTACCGTTGATAAGTGGCAACCATGACTAGATTTTGAGCATGCTTTAGGCCCAATTTTCCATATAAATGTTTTTCTTTTGTCGGTAACTAGCGGGAAATCCTTAGTTTTATCATTTTGGTGGTATTCCGCGTGTTTCGTTGTTTTTGGATGGATTTGCAGACTTTGGAACCCGTTTGAAGTTAAATTGGAGTAAAGCTTGAATTTTGGGCAGATTAGTTGGGCCTCACAGCCCAAGAAAAAGGAAAGTGGCGTGTGTTTCTCTCAACCAGCAAACTCAAAAGAAAAAAAACGGCAGCCAGACTGATGAGGATCAGCGGAGGATTTTTAGGAAGAAAACGGTTCTTAAGCGAAGGAATAGGCAGAAAAAAAACGGCTGCGGAAGAGATCAAAATCATCTCCCTGATTAGCATTTAAAGAGGAGGAGGAAGAATCACTCGACAACCTTTTTTTTCAGTAGCACCATGCTTCAAGAAAATAGGAGATTAGCAGGCTGGGATTTTTAATTCTTTACACATCTGCACCAGGGGAGAACAAGCCTCAAGTTGAAGAAAAGAAAACAAAAACTGCAGCCGCTAGTTTGGAGAAGAGCACCAGCCGTATGTTCTGGAAAAAAAAATGCAGCAGCCATAGGTTCTGTTTTTTTTTTCTAGCAGCAGCAAGATGCATTCAATTTTAATTCTTAACCCTTTAATCACTTAAGCACTACTAATTGCTCTAGAATTTCATCTCAATTGATATTGGTATGTCAGTTTTTTTTGTGGATTGGAATGCATTCAACCAATTGTGTTAGTTTTTGTGTATCATGTTTGGCTAATTCTGAATGGAGTTTGGATTCGTACAAGTCAAGATTAAAAGTAGTTCTCAAATATTGAATTGAATTGGAATATTATTGCTAGTCACTTTGAGTTATCATATTAGTATTTTATTTTAATAAATAAAAAACTCATCATTTAGAGGTTACTAGTTTCTGTTTAATTGCAAGAGTAGGTTTTTTTAGGTTTACCAGTTTTTTTACTTCTGTTATTTAATTAATTTCGCCATTAGTACTTTTATTGTTTATTTTAATTTATTCAACCGTTTTCACAATTAATCAATTGAGAAAGCTTGCAATAACTCGAATTAACCGGTGACCGAAATTGAAATCAACGCTTCCTTTCGCCATTCCTTAGAGATACGATACTCGGAGTTAATTTTTCCACCTGGAATGATTACTCCGTTTTACTACAACGCCGAGAAATCGGGGTAATCAAATGGCGCCGTTGCCGGGGAATGGCACGGTTTGAAGTTGATTTCTATATTGGCATAGGTGAACCCGAGTTAGTGAGACTTTCTCGTTTTGTTTTTGTTGTTTTGTGTTTTTGTTTTAGGTTGCCTCCTGTGCATGCGAACACGCTCTCAGGGATCTAAAGACTTGACACCTTTTAATCCTGAACCCGAGCGCATTTTAAGAAGAAGGCGAACAACAACTCTTGAAACAATGGCTCAAGACGGAGATGAGCAAACAGGCGTGAGAAGAACCATGTACGACCAGATTGCCCCGCAATTCACTGAAGCTGATGGAATCACGATGCCAGGAATTCAAGCTGTAAACTATCAGCTTCCTCCTGGTCTAATCAATTTGGCACAAAGCAATCAGTTTGGAGGGGCAAAACATGAAGATGCCCGAAGTCATATGATTTGGTTCAACCGTTTGTGCCGTACCTACCGAGCTAATGGAGTCACAGAAGCTGCCAACAAGCTGATGCTTTTCCCATTCTCATTAAGGGACAAGGCACTGCATTGGCTAGATAGTCATACCTTTGCAAGTTGGGATGAATTGTACCAAGGATTTATGAACCAATATTGTCCAGCATCTGCAGGGATCAAGGCTAAAGCTGCTTTGCAGAATTTCAGGCAAGCACCAACAGAAAGCTTGTGCGAGGCTTGGGAGCGATACAAAGAGCTTAGAAGTAAATGTCCAGAGTCAGTCATGGAGAGCATTGACACCATTTTTCACTTCTATCATGGACTGACAATTGAAAGCAAGAAAGAGCTCGACCATTCCTCAAAGACAGGATCTATTCTCAGGCTGACTACACAAGAGAGCGAAGAGTTAGTAGAAACGATAACTGCCAATGAAAGGTATTGGTACGAAGAAAGAACAGAGAGAGCGATTCCAGTAAGGGCAGGCTTACATGAAGTTGACCACCATACGGCGCTAGCAGCAAAGCTTGAAGCTGCTATATCCAAGTTTACTAAGCTTCTTGATAAGCAAGAAAATACTCAGTCAGTGAATCAAGTGGGCGTCCAACACGGGGCTGCCCAAGGGAATCAGACACATCCTCCATCTCAATGCAGGGATATTATAGCCACATGTGATCTTTGCTGCGGGACACACTTGACTAATTTGTGCCCATACTATGAAGAAACCGCTCCTTTAACTCAGCACAAGGAGGCGAACTTACTGGAGTATGCGAGGAAGGGAGAAGGTCCCCTAGCTAACCAGTTTCAGAATAATAGAGGTAATGCTTTTTCGTACAATAATCAAAGAGTTAACTATCCAGGTGGAAATAACCAGTGGCGAGACAACAACAGATATGGTGGATATCAGGGAAATCAGGGGTATCAAAGGGGGCAATTTAACAACCCAAACAACCAGGTTTATGTACCCCCACACCTGAGGCAGCAAGAAGGTCCCTCTCATGCTCAACATGACATTGTGATGTCTGAAATAACAAAGCTCAAGGAGGAAAAGGCAGCTGAGACCCGACAGCTTGATCAACGCTTGAAATCAATGGAGACAAATGTCTCTGACTTGAAGGAATTAGGGTCTAAAATTGACCAATTGGTGTCTGCTCTTAGCGGGAGACAGTTGGGTACCTTACCAAGCACTACTGAGCCTAACCCTCGTGAACATGTTAAAGCAATCACGTTGCGGAGTGGCAATGAAGTCCAAGGTCCTTCAAGAGAAAGTGTAGGGAGTCCAGTAGCTGTCCCGATCCAAACCAAAGAGGAAGATCATACTGTTGAGACTGAATCTGAGGCTCAACAGGCTACCCGGAAGGTGAAAGGAAAAGTTGTCCAAAGGGAGGAGTTAAACCAAGAAGAGTCAAGACTGTCTTCAGCCCCCACTTTACCCTTTCCTACTCGGGTAAGAAAAGAAGTTGACCGTCGGAGAGAGTACTGGTTTATGGAGATGATGCGCAAGCTACATGTCGACATGCCACTTACAGAAGTGCTGGCAGAAATGCCAAAATACGCTAAGTTCTTAAAGGATTTGCTCACAAACAAGAAGAAACTTGAAGAATACTCTGTGGTGGATCTCAATGCAGAATGCTCGGCAGTAGTACTAAAGAAAATACCTGAAAAGCTTAAAGATCCAGGTTCTTTCACTATTCCCTGCTCCATTCATGATTATAATTTTAAAAATGCTCTTGCTGATTTAGGAGCCAGCATCAACTTGATGCCGGCTTCTTTTGTTAAGAAGTTGGGACTTGGGGAGATGAAACCAACTAGGATGTGTCTTCAACTAGCTGACCGTTCTGTTAAGTACCCAATTGGTGTAGTTGAAGACGTCCTAGTTCGGGTTGGTGAGTTTTCATTTCCTGTTGATTTTGTGGTAATGGATATGGAAGAGGACTGTGGTACTCCTCTTATTTTGGGAAGGCCATTCTTGGCCACCGCCCGAGCTCTTATTGATGTGTCTGATGGGTCATTGACTCTGAGAATTGGGGAGGATACTTGTACTTTCCGGCTCTCAGAAGTCATGAACCACTCAGAAGTATATGATGAAAGTTGTAATTTTCTTGATGTTTATGACTGCATTGAGGACTATTTGTTTGGGGGGTCAGGTCGGAGTTATATTTCTGATAATTTTGAATGTGCTGAAGTCTTGAGTGCTAGGGTGCATGATGATGATGAATTTTTGAAACATGAGCTTAAATGTTCTGTCGACGACATTCTGGAAGAAGCTTCACAAGAAGCAACAGGGAGTTCTGATATTGATTCTCCTCCAGTGGAGCAACTCCCAGAACTCAAAAAGCTTCCAGAACACCTTGAGTATGTTTCTCTGGATGATGAGGGCAAACGCCCTGTCATCATTTATTCTATGTTAGAGAAGGAGGATAGAGAAATGGTTTTGGCAGTCCTCCGGCGACGCGAGAAAGTCATTGCTCGCTCACTCGGGGATATTAGGGGAATTGCGCCTACTTTTTGCACTCATAGGATTACAATTGAGGAAGGGTTCAAACCGACAGTTCAACCACAACGTCGGTTGAACCCTAATCTGATGGAAGTTGTTAAGACTGAGATCATACGACTGTTGGATGCGGATATCATATACCCGATATCTGACAGTAGTTGGGTCAGTCCTATTCATATGGTCCCCAAAAAAGGGGGAATGACTGTGATCGAAAGTGATAGGGGGGAGCTTTTGCCTACTCGTACTGTGTCCGGATGGCGTATGGTTATTGACTATCGAAAATTAAATGATGCCACCCGAAAGGATCACTTCCCCTTACCATTTATCGATCAACTAGTTGAGAGCTTGGCGGGGCATGGGTACTATTGCTTTCTGGATGGTATGAGTGGTTATTTTCAAATTCATGTGGATCCCAAAGACCAAGAGAAGACTACATTCACTTGTCCTTTTGGAACATTTGCCTTCCGTAGGATGCCTTTTGGTCTTTGTAATGCCCCTGCCACTTTTATGAGATGTATGTTGGCTATTTTTGACAAATTCATTGGTAACTTTATGGAAATCTTCATGGATGATTTTTCTATATTTGGTGATACTTTTGATGCATGTTTGACTAACCTGGATAGGGTGTTAGCCAGATGTGAAGAGACCAACCTGGCCTTGAGCTGGGGAAAATGCCATTTCATGGTCCAGGAAGGTGTTGTTTTGGGGCACAAGGTTTCTAAAGAAGGTATTGAAGTTGATAGGGCCAAGGTTGAGGCTATTGAGAAACTACCTTATCCAACAACGGTAAAAGCCATACGCAGCTTCCTTGGACACGCTGGCTTTTACCGTCGTTTTATACATGATTTCTCTAAAATAGCCCGACCCTTGACCACTCTTCTTGGGAAGGACGTTCCTTTTGTATTCACTGATGAATGTAGAAATGCTTTTGTCACTCTTAAGAAAAAGTTGACTGAGGCTCCGGTCTTAGTGGCACCTGACTGGACGTTGCCCTTTGAAATTATGTGCGACGCTAGCGACCAAGTTGTTGGGGCTATCTTAGGTCAAACTAAGGATAAGCACTTTCGCCCCATCTACTACGCTAGCAAGACTTTGTCGGGGCCTCAGCTCAACTATACTACCACTGAAAAGGAATTTTTGGCTATTGTGTTTGCTCTAGAGAAATTTAGACCTTATATCATTCTTTCGAAGGTAATTGTCTTCTCTGACCATTCGGCATTGAGATACTTACTTCAGAAGAATGATGCAAGGCCTAGGCTTCTCCGTTGGGTTCTTTTATTGCAGGAATTTGATGTTGAGATCAGGGATCGGAAGGGGACTGCTAATCAAGCTGCAGACCATCTTTCTAGATTGGATGCTGAGGTGGTGGATACTTTTAGGAAGTTTGAGATTGCAGAATCTTTCCCCGATGAGAGGCTCATGTCTGCCCAACATAGTTCAGAGGCACCCTGGTATGCGGATCTTGCAAATTTCATTGTTGGTAAGATTGAGCCTATTGACATGTCTCGCCATCTGATTAAGAGATTGAGATCTGAGGCAAAACACTACTTCTGGGATGACCCATTTCTGTTTAAAATATGTGCTGACCAAGTAGTAAGGAGGTGTGTGTCTAATCAAGAAGGGAGAGAGATCCTGGAACACTGTCATGCAGGGCCCACGGGGGGCCACCTTTCGGGAGAGCGGACTGCTCGAAGAGTACTTGACTGTGGCTTTTATTGGCCCACTATCTTTAAGGATGCCCATGCTTATGTTTCATCTTGTGACCACTGTCAGCGAACGGGGAACATATCCAAGAGGGATGAAATGCCGCAACATTACATTTTGCCCTGTGAATTATTCGATGTATGGGGCATTGATTTCATGGGACCCTTTCCGAGCTCACGAGGAAACAAGTTCATTCTAGTTGCAGTCGACTATGTGTCCAAGTGGGTGGAGGCCCAAGCATGTTCGAAAAATGACACTCGGGTGGTTGTAAGATTCTTAAGGAAGCTGTTTGCACGATTTGGCGTCCCAAGGGTTTTGATTAGTGATAGAGGTACCCATTTCAGAAGTGACCCATTGGCTCGTACTTTGCAGCGGTATGGCATTCAACACAGATGTGGGGTGGCTTACCACCCCCAATCTCAGGGACAGGTGGAAAACACAAACAGAGACATCAAGTCTGTATTGGAGAAAACAGTTTCCAGGTCAAGGAAGGATTGGTCTGACAAACTTGATGATGCACTATGGGCACTTCGTACAGCATACAAGACACCTATCGGTACAACGCCGTTTAGGCTGGTTTATGGGAAATCATGCCACCTCCCAGTGGAGATAGAGCATAAGGCGCTCTGGGCTTTGAAGACTGTGGTATTTGACCTTCAGGGCGCTGTAAAAGAGAGATTTTATCAACTTGATGAGTTAGAAGAGTGGCGGGCCTCAGCTTTTCACAACAATCACCTTTACAAGGAGCGAGTGAAGCACTACCATGATAAGCACATTAAAAAGTCACGAGAGTTTGAAGTTGGTGATCAAGTTCTGTTGTACAACTCCCGGCTGAAATTATTCCCTGGAAAGCTGCGATCTAGATGGACTGGTCCTTTCACAGTGACAGAAATCTACCCATACGGAACCATTGGGTTGTACAGTTCGGAGAAGGGAAACTTCAAGGTAAATGGGCAGCAAGTTAAACTATATCATGGTGGCCTAGTGAATAAAGAGAAGGAGGTTTTGCACCTCACTACACTTGAGGTATGATTAATTTGTGGTGTCCGGCTGAAGACGTTAAACTTAGCGCTGTTTGGGAGGCAACCCAAGTGATGTTGTGGGTATACCATCAGAAAACCCTCACGAGACCCTCACTCGTCCTCTTGGGTTCACTGAGGGGTTCAAAAGGGCTTGTTGCACGTGCTAAGTGCAATCGTGATCCCTACGAAAGTGGCTTCTTCTATTTTTTTTTTTCATCATTATTTTTCAATACCGTTTTAGTGTTGCATCCTTGCTCCCGTTCGATGTTCATCATTCTATTGCAGTCATGGTTGTGGCATTTTTTTTTTGTAGTCATTTGTTTTATCCACCCCTCCCTTGAGTTTTTGCTCTCTTTGCTTTTTCCCACTTAAACAAGGCATTTTTTTCGTCATCGAGGACGATGTCGAGTTCAAGTGTGGAGGGGTTACATAACTGCTCATGAAAAGGGGAGGATAAGGATTTGTGCATATTTGCCATGCTAAGGTCACTGTGTTAGTTTTCTTCACCCATTATTGATTTTCCCAAATTTTCAAAAGTTTTTGTTATCTTTCCCTTTTTGCTCCTGTAAAATTATCGTCCCTTCACTTTTTTTAATTATAACATTGTTAGCGAATAGAATAACTTACAAGCTTAAATTGCTTAGCTTTTTCTGCATATACTTGAGGTGATAGAGGCCTGTTTGCACCTACTTTCTTTCTCATCCTCTAGTTTTTTCGGTGCATTCAGTTTTGACTCAATAATTTCTGCAAGTTTAGTGTGATTTTTGTATTTATTTTGTATATGTTGTTGCTATTTGCCTGTTTGGGAATTAAGAAGCTGAGAAAGAGTGCAGGTTTGTCTATTTGGAATGGTCTATTTTTTTTTTTTTGTCAAATGATTTCAACTGAGAAGAACTTGGTGGCGTCTTTGCAAATAAGCCTTACCAGCCGTGAAAAAAAAGAGAAAAAGAAAAGGACAACACAAAAGTGTCTGCTCCAATTCAAATTGATTCAATAAGTGCCAATGCACATGTGTGTGTGAGTTGCTGGCTTTGGTTGATGCAAGGATTGTCGGCAAAGCTTATCTCCCAAAAAGCATACCTTTTTTAAGGGTTTAGATGAGGGGGGTAACCAAGTTTACTCAAAAAGGGTCAAGAGCTTAATAAGAAGACTTTTCCAAATGGGCATATCTGCAATTCTCAGTCTGATTGACCCAACAGGTATTTTAGCTACAGTGTGTACAAAATACTTACAAACATTTCACTTTTCTTCTCTCTCACCCTCTAAAGTCCTCTTGATCTTGTGTATGAGTTTTAGCTTAAGCTGCTTGTATGCTTCTATCATGACATTGTTGGATTAAATTTGTTGACTGGTTTGGTGCAATTAAAAGAAAATCTAACAAAGATGGTTGAGACTTGGGGAGGATAACTGGTGGTTGTACAAAATTTGCATTAGTTACTCAAGCATGTCATGTTTGCACTGATTATTTTCTCTTCTCGCTGCTTGACGGTTTTGTGCTTGAGGGCAAGCACAACTTAAGTGTGGAGGGGTTTGATAAGTGGCAACCATGACTAGATTTTGAGCATGCTTTAGGCCCAATTTTCCATATAAATGTTTTTCTTTTGTCGCTAACTAGCGGGAAATCCTTAGTTTTATCATTTTGGTGGTATTCCGCGTGTTTCGTTGTTTTTGGATGGATTTGCAGACTTTGGAACCCGTTTGAAGTTAAATTGGAGTAAAGCTTGAATTTTGGGCAGATTAGTTGGGCCTCACAGCCCAAGAAAAAGGAAAGTGGCGTGTGTTTCTCTCAACCAGCAAACTCAAAAGAAAAAAAACGGCAGCCAGACTGATGAGGATCAGCGGAGGATTTTTAGGAAGAAAACGGTTCTTAAGCGAAGGAATAGGCAGAAAAAAAAACGGCTGCGGAAGAGATCAAAATCATCTCCCTGATTAGCATTTAAAGAGGAGGAGGAAGAATCACTCGACAACCTTTTTTTTTCAGTCGCACCATGCTTCAAGAAAATAGGAGATTAGCAGGCTGGGATTTTTAATTCTTTACACATCTGCACCAGGGGAGAACAAGCCTCAAGTTGAAGAAAAGAAAACAAAAACTGCAGCCGCTAGTTTGGAGAAGAGCACCAGCCGTATGTTCTGGAAAAAAAAAATGCAGCAGCCATAGGTTCTGTTTTTTTTTCTAGCAGCAGCAAGATGCATTCAATTTTAATTCTTAACCCTTTAATCACTTAAGCACTACTAATTGCTCTAGAATTTCATCTCAATTGATATTGGTATGTCAGTTTTTTTTGTGGATTGGAATGCATTCAACCAATTGTGTTAGTTTTTGTGTATCATGTTTGGCTAATTCTGAATGGAGTTTGGATTCGTACAAGTCAAGATTAAAAGTAGTTCTCAAATATTGAATTGAATTGGAATATTATTGCTAGTCACTTTGAGTTATCATATTAGTATTTTATTTTAATAAATAAAAAACTCATCATTTAGAGGTTACTAGTTTCTGTTTAATTGCAAGAGTAGGTTTTTTTAGGTTTACCAGTTTTTTTACTTCTGTTATTTAATTAATTTCGCCATTAGTACTTTTATTGTTTATTTTAATTTATTCAACCGTTTTCACAATTAATCAATTGAGAAAGCTTGCAATAACTCGAATTAACCGGTGACCGAAATTGAAATCAACGCTTCCTTTCGCCATTCCTTAGAGATACGATACTCGGAGTTAATTTTTCCACCTGGAATGATTACTCCGTTTTACTACAACGCCGAGAAATCGGGGTAATCAACCGTCTTCCTTGGGTCTCCACCATTTATATACCGAGGTTTGAGGACAGTACCGTCATCCCTGGGTCTCCACCGTTTATACATATGAGGTTTGAGGACAGTACCGTCGTCCCTGGGTCTCCACCGTTTATATACCGAGTTTTGAGGACAGTACTGTCGTCCCTGGGTCTCCACCGTTTATATACCGAGTTTTGAGGACAATATCGTTGTCTCTGGGTTCTCAACCGTCTTACATTCACTTATATGACCTACCGCTTATCATACATAGATAGGGTCTAGATCATAATCGTTTATCAAGACTAGACCAAGTCTTAGAGTGTAATCATTATGTATCAAACTTACCATTTAAATATCATATTCCATGCAATTCCATGCACAGTATACCTATATAGGATGTCTGGGCTGGATACCCCCTTTGAACCGGGCCCGAACCGCATTATGGCGAAATCAAAACCCGGTGGCAGCAGCTTACCTGACGCCGGTCATACCCTATACCCGACGCCGGGAATGTATTAAATTCCCCAGACCAGTTAGGGAGTGGCATAACCGGCACCGGTTCGGCCATATATATGGCCGGCGCCGGTCCACCGTCTGCCCAACGGCGCTAGTCCACCGTCTGCCCAACGGCGGCTGTCCGTTGACCCCCCCCCCCTGCCCCGTATGATCTCCGATCGGTCCGAAACTTCTATACAACATGTATTGGGTCTCAAACAACCATAATATCCCATTTTAATCATCCAAAACATCACATATGTTTTTATACACATTTTATACTTTTAACATGCATAATCATGTTGTATCATTCACATAAGCTAAATTACTTTGGCTAATCACATGCTTAAGTTCCTTTAAACATCGTTATGAATACTTATAACATTTCTTTAGGTAATCTTATACTTAACCCAAGAGTTACAAGACATTAATCCATCCACTCACCTTGAATGAGCTTTAAGAAGTTCTACCATTCCCGGTTGGACTCCGGCGAAGCTCCGGCGAAGCTCCGGCGAAGCTCCAGCGAACATTGACGAATTCCGGCGAAAACTCCAGCGACTCTTTCAACTCCTTGAAAGCTCTAGGAACACCTTAGACAAGTTCCTAAAAAGGTTTTATTATCATGAAACCCATATCAACACAAATAACCTCTAAAAGGTTATTTTCCGGCGAACCAGTCACTTGGTTTCTAAGTCCGTTCTTGGACTTAGAACTACCTTCCAATCCCTCTTTCTACACTTCTAAACATGTAGAAAAATACTAGGGGTTTCTCATATGATGTATAATCTATATGATAGTCAAAGAGTAGAGGAAAAGTTAGTATAAGGTCATTACCTTAATCACCACACTTTTTCCTCACTTTTCCTTTTTTAAAACTTCCTCCTTGGACCTTGTCTTCTTGAGCTCACTTGGCTATGGAGGAATGAAGTTGGAGAGATTATTTATCTTGCTTGGAGGGTGTATGTTCGAAATGATAGGGGGGATGGATTGCACATAGCCCTTTTTGTCTCAAATGGGTAATGAGTGAGGAAGGAGGGGTCCATTGGGTGTAGCTTTGATGCTCATCACCTCACCTCCTTTCCTTCCAAGTCAACCAGCACGTTCCTTGTCTAATTCATCACACAAAAACGTGGGGTGTCCCCCACTCATGTGGGAGGTCATCCCTTTATGTCCCGAACTGTACAATCGGCTCCGAAAGTTGTATTTCTCGGACTGTTTTAATTATATTTTGTTTTATAGGGGCCAAGTAAAATATATTAGACATTCTCAACCCATATGGCTCCTAGAATGAATATACATTCCTCAACTTTAATTTGGAAGTCTCCGAAATCCATTTCGGACTGTTATCCGATAAATTACCAATACCGGTAATTGGGTCTTGTTTGACCAACCGATCAACCCTATGTCCTTTCCATGGCCCAACTAAAATATCCAACACCATATACATATTATATAGACCAAGATGAATATAATATTTTGTCTCGGAAACATAAGGTGGTTCCCGCTCCTGATGTGGGCCCCACGTGCAATTCACTATTCACGCAAAAGTAATAACAAAAATTTACAACCTCGTAAATTCATTAACCATTTCTTAAGGTTCAATACATGATTTACATAAAAGTAAATATGATTGGGGACGGTGTTACAAGTTCACCTCCCTTATTTGGGATTTCGTCCCCGAAATCCACATGTCTAGTAAAAAAGAAATGGGTATTGCTCCCTCATTGAGACCTCGATCTCCCATGCTTCTTCCTCGACTCGATCACTCCTCCTTTGAACCTTTCCCATAAGAATCTCCTTGTTCCTCAATTTCTTTATCTGTTGACCAACAATCTTCACCGGTTCCACTGCATATTTCAAGTCCTCACGGATCTCCACTGGTTTTTTTAAAGAATATGAGACGGATCTCGTACATACTTCTTGAGCATGGATACATGAAATACGTCATGTATCTTCTCAAGTTCAGGTGTCAACTTGAGCCGATTAGTCAAGGCTGTAATCCTTTCAAGAATCTCAAATGCACCAATGTATCGAGGGTTAAGCTTACCCCTCGATACGAATCGAATGATGCCTTTCCAAGGAGAAATCCTCGAAAATACCTCATCACCAACTTCAAACTCTAACGGTCTGCGCCGTTTATTGGCATAGCTTTTGTGTCGATCTTGGGCGGCCTTAAGCCTATCCCAAATGACCTTCACCTTAGCCTTGGTGATCTCAACAAGTTCTATACCCTCGAGCTTGGCTTCGCCAACCTCATCCCAACACAATGGTGTCCTGCATTTCCTCCCATACAATGCCTCGTATGGAGGCATGCCGATACTTTCCTGGTAACTATTGTTATAGGCAAACTCTACTAGAGCCAAATGTTTGTCCCAACTCCCTTGGAACCTCAAAGCACATGCCTTAGGCATTTCTTCCAGAATCTGTATCACCCGCTCGAATTGTCCATCCGTCTGTGGGTGAAATGTTGTGATAAACTTTAGTTTAGTTCCCAAAGATGCTTGAAACTTTGGCCAAAATCTAGATGTGAATCGTGGATCTCTATCCGACACAATGGATACCGGGACTCCATGCAATCTCACAATCTCTTCAGTGTATAACTTGGCCAATCTTTCAAGAGGATAAGTAATGTTGATAGGTAAGAAATGTGTACTCTTAGTAAGCCTATCAACCACCACTCATACCGCATCGTAATTGTTCACCGTTCATGGTAATCCTACCATAAAGTCCATGGTCACATGTTCCCACTTCCATTCTGGAATGGTAAGTGGCTCCAGAAGCCCCGCCGGGTGCTGATGCTCCTCCTTAACTTGCTGACAAGTAAGGCATCGACTCACATACTCTACGACGTCCCTCTTCATACCTGACAACCAATATGGATGCAATATAGGCTGAAGAATGAGCCTCCTTTAGTATAGACTTTCGGAGCTCTTCATTCTTCGGTATACACACACGATCTCTAAACAATAAGAGACCATCTTCTCGTACCCAGAAATCCTCAACGGGGCCTACAAGGATCCGCTCACGGATCTTCTGACATTCCTCATCAATGCCCTGACATCTGCTAACCTCATCAAGCAAAGTAGGTCTAACCTCGAACCTCACTATGAGGGCCCCGCTCGTGGTCACCTCCACGCGCACCCTCAATGCCCGTAGGCATGTGAGTAACGTCCCCGACGTACTCTTCCTGCTCAGTGCATCAGCCACCACATTGGCCTTACTGGGATGATAGTCGATGATCAAGTCATGGTCCTTGATCAACTCCACCCATCTCCTTTGCCTCATATTCAACTCTTTCTGAGTGAATACATACTTCAAGCTCTTATGATCGGTGTAGATGTGACATGTTTCCCCGTAGAGATAATGCCTCCAAATCTTCAGTGCAAACACTACCGCCCCCAACTCTAGGTCATGGGTAGGGTAGTTCACCTCGTGTTTCCTCAATTGCCGAGAAGCATAGGCAATCACCTTACCATTTTGCATTAATGTAATACTTGAGATTTAATTTAAACGGATTAATAGTACTACTCATACCAACAAGGTGCATCTCCTTTTAAGGGAGCTCATTAGCCAAGAACTCCAATGTTAAGCGTGCTTGCACGAGAGTAGTCTTGGGATGGGTGACCCCCTGAGAAATTTCTCAGGGCGCGCACGAGTGAGGGCAAAGTGCGCGGAAAAGGCTAGTGGCGGTTTGTGAGGACAGTACTAGAGGTCAGAAGTAACTACCTCAGGGCTTACGGGGCCGGGGTGTTACAAATGATATTAGAGCAACCCTGCGACAGTGTGCTGATCCGTTGGATATCGGGCGGGCACTTAGTAGGGGAAACGATTCTGGGATATGGTTGAGATTGGTTTATGGGCGCAACGAGGACGTTGCGTTCCTAAGTGGGTGTGATTGTAATACTTAAGATTTAATTTAAATGGATTAATAGTACTACTCATACCAACAAGGTGCATCTCCTTTTAAGGGAGCTCATTAGCCAAGAACTCCAAAGTTAAGCGTGCTTGCACGAGAGTAGTCTTGGGATAGGTGACCCCCTGGGAAGTTTCTCAGGGCGCACACGAGTGATGACAAAGTGTGCGGAAAAGGCTAGTGGCGGTT